ATGAATGATTGGTCTAGATTCGAAGAAACTGAATTACCACCCCTTGAATCATTCTATAGTAACTTAACAGAATCTAAAATAACCGATGCCTAATATGAACATGCTCTGACGGTCTGGGATAAATTAGGTTGTAAGAATTTAGGCGATTATACGATCTGTACTTAAAAACCGATGTACTGTTACTCGCCGATATATTCGAGATATTTAGAAAGACATGTTTAAAACAATACGGTTTGGACCCGGCATGGTACTATTCCAGTCCTGGACTATCGTGGGATGCATTGTTGAAGAAGACCGGCGTAGAACTAAAACTACTCACAGATTACGATATGCACTTGTTTATTGAGAAAGGATTAAGAGGTGGTATATCAATGGCAGCGAAAAGGTATTCTAAGGCTAATAATAAATTAGTGGAAGGATACGATCCTAGTAAACCCGACACGCACATATTATATCTCGATGCTAACAATTTGTACGGATGGGCTATGAGTCAACCTTTGTCCACGGGTGATTTTGAGTGGGTCAATGATATCGAAGTGAATGATATCCATAATATCCATAATAATGATGCGAATGAAGGGTACATACTAGAAGTTGACTTGGAATATCCAAGTTCGTTACATAAAGATCATAACAGTTATCCGCTAGCTCCCGAAAGATTAATGGTTAATAAAGATTGGAAGTCGGAATATCAACGCTCCTTGATGGGTAATAGTAGGTTAGCTAATGTAGAAAAACTCGTACCAAATTTGATGGATAAGACAAAATATATAGTTCACTACAGAAATCTCCAGTTGTATCTATCGTTAGGTATGAAACTTAAGAAATTACACAGAGTTCTAAAGTTTGATCAAAGCCCTTGGATGGAGCCCTATATAAGGTTGAACACAGATTTAAGAAAGATAGCTACCAGCGATTTCGAAAAGAACCTGTATAAGCTCATGAATAACTCAGTAGTAAATAAAAAGGTGTTAGGTAAGATGAAGGATGAATGTGCTGGGACCCCTATAGCGGAGTATGTAGGATTAAGACCTAAGATGTATTCTATAAAGAAGTCTGATAATGGAGAGATAAGAAAAGCCAAGGGCGTTAAGAAGTATGTGGTAAAAAAGTATAACAAACACGAACAGTATAAAGAATCATTATTCAACGGTAGAACGTTCAAACACGAGATGAACTCTTTAAGAAGTTACAATCATAGGATATATGGATTAAGAATGAACAAGTCATCATTATCCCCCTTAGATACAAAGAGATGGATTGATAATGATGGTGTAACTACCTACGCTTATGGTTATGGTGGTAATACCGTACCGTCGGGAACTATGAACAACTCTTCTCGTACAAATGCCCTAACCGGTCCATCTTGAAGATAATAAAGAATAGGCTCTCCTTCTTTCATAACCAATCGACTAATGTTATATGTCTTAAGGGACCATATGGGATCAGTTGCACGACGTAGTTCACCGGGCTGGTATAAATATCTTACCCTTACTCTATCCGGAAGTTTTCGTTCTTTGCCTCTCCTCGGTGCTGAAGATTCGGAAGTCACGGATTTCATTTTAATAGCAACGGATGGTTTCTTCCCTATTAATCTCGTAACTTCATTATTCAGCGCTGATACAACGGCTGATAAACATGTCACCCATTCGGTTGATCTCAATCGCTCGGATTTCATTTCGATCCCATACTGATAGCCAAACAAACGTTCCGCCAATGTCCTGTTAAATCTTTCGACGATAGCTTGACTGCGGTGGGCCTCTCTTTCACCACGCCTGATTTCGATATTGTGCTTTGTTAACAGTTTTGTTATCGATCCCATAAACATGCGACTTGGATCTACTTGAAATAGCTTTGGCCATTTTAGTGGCCCGCGTTTATATATGCGACTCAGTGCATTAGCTACTTCTGTTGAATCTTTCGAGGTTAATGGCTCAGCCTCTTTGTATTGACTAGCCACATCCACTACTGTTAAAGCGTATTTATACGTTTTGCGTTTTACCTTATCGTGGGGAAGAAACAAGAGGTCAGCCTGATGAACTTCATTCGTTGTAAAAATATCAAACTTCTTCCACGGTATATAACGCGGTGCCGGTAAATATATTTGCCACATCGCTTGTTTCTTTAACCAATCCTTGGCCACATCTTTAGATACCTTAGCCGCGGTGGCTAATTTTTTTATTGCTCCTACACCTTTCCAATATCCTCGTGGGCTATAGTAAATTTAATTCATTATGAATTAATATTGATGTTTCTTTTAATTCGACTCATGACTATCGTTGAATCGCATAATCATTTTGGCATAAAAAATGCCCCCTGTAGTAGCAGTATAGGTAATAAATCCGACTCCAGTGGAGTTGAGGCAGAACCATTATTACCTATACTACTATTCAGTATACCATAAACAGCTGAATTAAATGCGCAAATCCACATTTTGCCTTTTGAAAAGAGAACGTATGGTATATTGACTAAATCTTGAGAACTGAAAAAGTTTATTGAGATAATAGGAAAAAAGCTCAGGAAAATGCCATTGTCGATTGATCCTCATGTGATATATAAACTGACGTTCAAAAGAAACTTTACCAACTGAAAATATAAATTTCAGACAAAGTATAATTTTTTTTTCGATGAAGTCTATCTAAAACACAATCTATCTAAATACAACCATAGTGTATGCAGAAAAGGTAATCGTCTGTTACATGTTTGCGAGATAACACGCGAAAAAGTGAAAAACACGTGCACCACGGACAACTGCAAATGCACCTGCGGGTTAGTGTATAAAACGATTGCAACGGCAAGTCAGACATCCACCGTGATAAAAAAACAAAACACAAAAGAAATGCCACGACTCACAGTCGAACAACGTGAACGAGCCTTTGGTATGGTACAGATGGGAGCCACCCACGTCCATATTGCACGAACCTTCGGTTGCTCCCGTGTTGCCGTTACCAACTTGATGCAACGTTACAGACAGATAGGGCGGACCGCTGACAAGCCAAGAACAGGCAGCCCCAGGGTGACCACGCCCCATGATGACCGGTACTTGCGTACCCTGCACCTCCGAAATCGCTTACTGACAGTGACGTCATCGGCGACAAATGCCTTAGGTCACAGGGTTAGTCGACAGACACTGGCCAGGAGCCTCAGGGCTCATGGAATCAGGGCTTTTAGACCATACAGAGGACAGCTATTGACAGCGCAACATCGTCGTCTGCGATTGAGATGGGCCAGGACTGTACGACGTTGGCAACGACGTGACTGGCAGAGGGTTGTCTTCACTGACGAAAGTCGATTCTGTATGTTTAGGGCTGATGGAAGACAACGTGTTTACCGCCTAAGGGGTGAACGAACGGCGGCGTGTTGCGTGCAGGAGGTTGTATCATATGGTGGAAGGAGTGTCATGGTGTGGGGAGGGATCTGTGGGCAGGAGAGGACACTGCTGGTCATCGTTGACGGAAATTTGACAGCTCAGCCTTACATGGATAATATTTTTCGTCCGGTTGTCCTACCATTTCTCCAACAGCAGCCACGTGGTGTCATTTATCAGCATGACAACGCTAGAGCCCATACAGCCAGAATTGTCACTAACTTCCTCGCAGCCAACGACGTCAACATCCTGCCTTGGCCTGCACGCTCACCCGACATGTCTCCCATAGAACACCTCTGGGACTTGATGGATCGTGATGACGAAAACGACCACACTCTCCAGCCAACCGGCAAGAACTGATCTTGGCCCTCCAAGAAGAATGGCGTCAATGTCGTGTATTGAGGCATTTGGTGGTCACACACGCTACTAATGACTTGTTATTGATGGTGAGCGATTGTGTATGTACTCTGCCTATTGTCCATGATTCTGAAAGCTCGAGTTTTGTACCACACCCAACTTTAGGGGCTCTGACGTCATTCTCGGTCGCGGTATGATTGTCATTTTCATATATTGATCTTCTCAATACACTTCATGCATGAATATTTTGTTGTTTTTGAGCAAGAGTGATTTCAAACTCTGGTAAAGTTTCTTTTGGACGTCAGTTTAGTTATATTTGCTTAAAATGCACTACAAATACTTGTCAAACTAGAACTATTCAAATAAAGGATCGGCGTCTGTAGGATATCCCTGTACATTCAGGCCTGACGCCAATAGCCTCTTTAATGTCTACATGCATGTTCGGTATTGGCACTATTTACTTGATCTATGAAATATCCTTCTCTTAATTGTATCTTAGATAAATATCTAGTGTGTGGTTTTATTGCAATATCTGAACACGACTGTATCACAAAATATGTTTGGATATGCAATAGGTCTGTTAAGGCACTTGAGCAGGGAAGCAGGTCAGAGAAGGTATTTCAGCTGCTGAAAGTATTGCACCTACCAGTGTCCTCTTTATTTACACATATTCTAACGGGCCTGTAGTACAGCTTGCACGGATAGTGTGATATACATATTAATAATTCATCCATTAACATACATTTTTTATATAATTAATTTCATGAAATGCATATTTTGTCACACGTCTTAACACTTGGAGACATTTGGTGGCTGGAACATATAAGGTGCTCGATATTAAATACAGACATGCTCATATGTACTATTAGACAATGCAAGGTGGTACCCATCTTCTACTACCTGCTTATTGCATCATTGACAAACTCTAATACTGTGTGCATCTTCTCTGTTCAGTGTTTAGTGTATGCTAAGGGCATCTTAGTCGAGAAAAGGTTATTCTTCTATTTTTCAAACCGGTAGAAACCTACCAGAAACATGGACCAAGAGGAATTTGATGTAAACATGTGGTTTGTTTTCATCAGTGGTTGTCGATACATTGCAGATGTGGGACAAAGACTGCTCCTTTAAATCGGAACAATATGTAAGAAGCTCATGTCTAGAAATAACTTTCGAGTTCCACGTAAGCAATGGCTTTCTTCACAAAGATGTGTAAGTATAAATTTCCAGTTTTACAAACAGTCAATGTCTTGTTATTCAAATACTCATTTCTTCTTAGTTTTAGACCAGTACGTTGGCTGCTACAAAGACAATAGTCTGCGAATTCTGCCACAGGACCTAAGGATATATACGCTTTTGACGACAACAAAATGTTTACTACACTGTCACGGAAAAGGATATACATATTTTGGAACGCAGGTAAGATTCTTGCCTTGGTGTAGTACAACATGGCCATGGCACATCGTAGACAAACAAATGTCACTTGCAAGCAACTTTGAGCCAGGGTCACAGCTTGTTCATAATTCAGCTAGGGGTCACGGGTTGTTCACAATTCAGCCAGGGTCAAGGGTTCTTCACTATTAAGCCAGGTGTCAGGATTTGTTCACAATTTAGCCAGGGTAACGGGTTGTTCACAATTTAGCTTGGGGTCAGGGGTTGTTCACTAATAAGCCAGGGGTCACGGGTTGTTCACAATTAAGCCAGGGGTTGTTCACAGTTCAGCCAGGAGTCAGGGGTTGTTCACAGTTCAGCCAGGGGTCAGGGTTGTTCACAGTTCAGTCAGGGGTTTGGGGTTGTCTACTATTGAGCCAGAGTAACGGGTTGTTCACAATTCAGGCAGTGGTAACGGGTTGTTCACTATTAAGCCAGGGTAACGGGTTGCTCACAATTCAGGCAGGGGTCACGGGTTGTTCACAATTAAGCCAGGGTCACGGGTTGTTCACAGTTCAGCCAGAGGTCAGGGTTGTTCACAGTTCAGCCAGGGTTCAGGGTTGTTCACAGTTCAGCCAGGGTTCAGGGTTGTTCCCAGTTCAGCCAGGGTTCAGGGTTTTTTACAATTCAGCCAGGGGTCAGGGTTGTTCACAGCTCAGTCAGGGGTTTGGAGTTGTCTACTATTGAGCCAGAGTAACGGGTTGTTCACAATTCAGGCAGCGGTAACGGGTTGTTCACTATTAAGTCAGGGTAACGGGTTGCTCACAATTCAGCCAGGGGTCACGGGTAGTTCACTATTAAGCCAGGGTCACGGGTTGTTCACAGTTCAGCCAAGGGTCAGGGTTGTTCACAGTTCAGCAAGGGTTCAGGGTTGTTCACAGTTCAGCCAGGGGTCAGGGTTTTTCACAGTTCAGCCAGGGGTCAGGGTTGTTCACAGTTCAGTCAGGGGTTTTGGGTTGTCTACTATTGAGCCAGAGTAACGGGTTGTTCACAATTCAGCTAGCGGTAACGTGTTGCTCACTATTAAGCAAGGGGTCAGGGGTTGTTCACAATTCAGCCAGGGGTCACGGGTTGTTCACTAATAAGCCAGGGGTCAGGGTTTGTTCACTATTTAGCCAGGGTAACGGGTTGTTCACAATTCAGCCAGGGGTCACAGGCTGTTCACAGTTCAGCCAGGGGTTTTGTGGATGTCTACTATTCAGCCAGAGTAACGGGTTTTTTAACAAATTAGCCATGGTAAGGACTTATTCTCAATTTAGCCAGGGTCAGGAGTTGTTCACAATTCTGCCTGGGGTTACGGATTGTTCACAGTTCAGCCATGGGTCAGGGGTTGTTCTATTCAGCCAGGGTAACATGTTGTTTATAATTTAGCCAGGGTCAGGTGTTGTTCACAATTCAGTCAGGGGCCACGGGGTATTCACAATTTAGCCAGGGGTCGGGGATATTCAGTACTGAGCCAGGAAAACGGCTTGTTCACAATTCAGCCCGCGGTCACGGGTTGTTCATCCAATTCAGTCAGGCGGCAGATGTTGTTCACACAATTCAACCAGGCGGCAGAGGTTGTTCACACAATTCAGCCAGGCGGCAGAGGTTGTTCACACAATTCAGCCAGGGTAACGGGTTGTTCACAATTTAGCCAGAGTAAGGAGTTGTTAACAGTTCAGCTAGGTGTCACGGGTTGTTCTCAATGTAGTCAGGGGTTGTTCACTATTCAACCAGGGTAACGGGTTGTTCACAATTTAGCCAGGAGTCACGGGTTGTTCACAATTCATCCAGGGGTCACGGTTGTTCACAATTCATCCAGGGTCCACGGTTGTTCACAATTCAGCATGGGGTCAGGGGTTGTTCACAATTTGGCCCGGGGTCATGAGTTGTTCACTATTCAGTAAGGGGTCACGGGCTTTTCACTTTTCAGCCAGGGCTCAGGGGTTGCTTACTATTTAGCCAGGTTCAGGGTTTTTTCACAATTCGACCAGGGGTCAGGATTTGCTCACTATCTACCCAGGGGTCACGGGTTGTTCACTATTCAGCCAATGTTACGGGTGGTTCACTATTCAGCAAGATGTCACGGTTGTTCAAAGTTGAAGCAGGGGTCACGTGTTGTTCACAATTCAGCCAGGGGTCACGGGTTTTTTTACAATTTAGCCAGAGATCAGGGGTTGTTCAGAATTCAGCTTGGGGTCAGGGATTGTTCACAATTCAGCCAGTGTAACGGGTTGTTCACAATTCAGCCAGGGGTCAGGGTTTGTTCACTATTCAGCCAGGGTTATAGGTTGTTCACTATTCAGCCAGCGGTCACTGGTTGTTAACACAATTTAGCTTGGTGCGACGGTTATTCACAATTCAGACATGGGTCAGGGGTTGTTCACAATTCAGCCAGGGTTGGGGTTGTTCACAATTCAGCTAGGGATCGGGGTTGTTCACTTTTGAGCCAAGGGTTGTTCACTATTTAGCCATGGGTCAGGGTTCTGAATAATTCAAAAGGGGTCACGAGTTGTCCAACATACGCAAAGTCCTGGTTTTCATATTCATCGTTACCATAAGAAAACCCTAATTTATTATATTTTTAATAAGGAGGAATTATTACCAATACTTTATAAACTCCCAAGACTGGGAAAATACTATTGGAAACCCTAGCGTATGAACCATTAGGTAATCACCGACCCAGATCTTATCGACAAATATTGTTAAACAGAGAGCCTTGTTACGACGTAAATTGTAATAAAAAGATAAATTGTAATACTTGAAGCAAATTGTAATAATTTTGACGTAAATTATAATAACAACGTAAATTGTAATAAAATTTGACGTAAATTGTAATAAAATTTGACGTAAATTGTAATAATCTCAACTTGCGGTAAAATGTAATAACTTTTTACGTAAATTGTAATAACCTTATAAGTTTAGTGTCAAAGGCGTTAAATGACTAGAACCTATCCTTGTCAGGGTTGGTACAGGGTTTATCGTACAATCGTCATTAAAGTATGGGTGTGGGGGAGGATTGAGGTCGTTATCGTACATTGTTGTATAATTATATGTATATATAAACGCATTGGAATTTCATTTCTATGGTTGTCCAGAAGAGGATTAATTACTAGAATGAACTTAGTTTTCTTATTTATTTGAGAAATACTCTGTGTGTTTTGTATTATATTTTGACGAAGAATTCAAATACAACAAATGAGTGACAGATCTCCTGTGTGCAATGTCATATGAAAAAAACCGAGTAGTCAGCAAATGCAGCATAGATTTCCCATGCATGGTAAAGGAGAATACTTAATACATAACATTATATACAATGTTTTTATTGATATCAAAAGAGGGGCGAGGATATTCTTTACCTACATTGCATATACTATTAGATATTGTGTATTCTCGATCTCTGTGAACTTCTCACAGATAAAGAAATAATAATAAATAAATGCAAACCATGTTAACTTATGCAATATTTGTAGCAATGTATGTTTAACATATGGATCATTAATATAACATAAAATATTTCCTTTCATAGGAAGAAGTATATTTAATGAAATAAATGAATAAATGTAACTGTCTGGATTCCTTTCATATGTCATGAAGAACTAACAACAACTTACTGACAACTTATGCTGGGAAAATAACTCCTTGCCCCAACAACAAAAACAGAATCCATCATGATAACGGCACGAAATCATAATTCACAAGCATACACAAATTTAATCCGGTATCTTCGGGCATGTCTTGTTGAGTTTCAAAGAGCATCAGAATGTATAATCAATTTGTTGCAATCAATTATTGCTGAAATAAAATGATCAACATTGAAAGGATGGAAAATCTGTAATGAAAAGGGTTTTGTCACTAACGTAAATATTCTCTTTGACCTTATACGAAGAGTATTCTAAGATCATTAAACTCGGCAATCGTTGGTGGATTGCGCCAAGCAACCTTGATACCAAATTTGGTACCTCACGTATAATGCGGTACATAATTTTCGAAACAGATAATTACGTTTTTCATAAGTTATCACTAATTTGTGACATATATACGGACAAACATTACCTCAGAGGATAATCTTCTCTGGGGGTTTAAGAGGATTAAAATAATTCCAGCTAACATCAAGCACTGTAATAAAATATTGAAATTATAGCATACCTTCTTAACATTTCAGTGAAAAGAATAGACTAGTGACTAACTAAGAAACCAAATTATATTTATCTCCGATACTATGCCCTCATCAGTATAGACACACACACATATATACACACCAACACATATACATACAAACACATACACATATAGGTATGTATGTATGTATGTGTGTGTTTGTGTGTGTGTGTTTATGTATGTGTTTATGTATGTATGTATGTATGTATGTATGTATGTATGTATGTATGTATGTATGTATGTATGTATGTATGTATGTATGTATGTATGTATGTATGTATGTGTGCGCGCATGTAGGTGTGTATGTAATGACAGTTAATGTGAGCTCTATGTCATTGGTATCACATATATGACTGCACTTCTACATACTCTAGATGACAGTATCATGTACGTAGATGAAAGTATGTAAGTGGACGATAGTATCTAGATGGCATACTATCATCTACGTAGAAGATACTATCATATACGAAGATGAACGTATCTTCTACGTTGATGATGGTATCTTCTACGTAGATGATAGTATTTTCTACGTAGATAGGGGGCACAGGTGGCCCAGTCGTCTAAGGCGCTGCGATTCGCTGTGCAGATTTGCGTCCCCTGGACACGCCAGAAACCTATGATTGTGGGTTCGAATCCCGGTTCGTCCCGATTATGTTTCTAGGTTTGTCAGCACCATACCCGTGCTCGTGGGTTTCACCGAAGTGGTAAACGTCTGAGACCTGCATCACTTCGGGCTTTCCTCCAACATTAAGCTGACACGCCGTGATATAACTTGAATACTGTTAAAAGCGGCGTTAAACCCAACTCACTCACTCACTCACTCACTCAATTCTACGTAGATGATA